GATCCATCGCTAGAATCAATCCCATCAGCGGATCAGATCCAAGGTCCATATAATGTGGAACAATTCAATTGTATAGCTTCAACCTTACAGTTATCACCAATTTCATCGAGAAGTATGAGAAGTATGAATTATCGTGTTCAAAAATCTGCAGAGATCACAAAGGCAGTGCGTAAAAATATATTTGGGATGGATTCAGACGATGTCAACAAATCAAATGATTTTGACGAAATGATCATGCAGTTAAAGGAGAAATTTAATTTGCCTTCTACGAGTACAAATGACAAATTAAAAGTGTTATCAGTGCTCCCTAAATCATGGTCAGTGAATCAAATAGTTAATGAGTTTAATGCACCCCATCATACAGTGAAACAGATGAAAAGGCTAGTCAGAGAACAAGGTATTCTTTGTAGTAATAAAGCAAGAAGTGGTCATGGATTTAATGATACTGAAAAACAAATTGTTTTAAATTTCTTTGACAGTGATGATATTAGTAGGCCTTTGCCAGGAAGTAATGATTATGTTTCTGAATATCGAAATGGATATAAAGAGCATGTTCAGAAACGTTTATTGATGATGTCTCTTAAAGAGGCTTTTATGATTTTTGAAGAGAAATACAAAAGTGTTAAAATCGGATTTACTTCGTTCACTCAGCTCCGACCAAAGCATTGCATACTGTTGGATAGTACAGGTACACATAATGTATGTGTCTGTACTATACATGAAAATGTTAAATTGATTATTAATAGTGTAAAATTTGATTCATATAAAGCAATTGCAGACAAAATACTTTGCAGTAGTCCTATTAGAACCATAGATTGTTTTTATCGTACATGTGAAGAATGCATTTCCACAGATAGTATCGTGAGGGAACTTACATCAGTATTAGAAGCAGATGATATGGAAGAAGTTTTATTTCAACAGTGGTTGACTACCGACCGTTGTAATTTGGAAACTATTATTAAACCTGCAGATGAGTTTGTTCAATATTTGACGGAAAAAGTTGAAAAGCTCATAACCCATGATTTTATTCATAAAGAGCAATCATCTTACCTAAGTAATAAAAAAATTATCTTCAAAACGGTGAAATTTTAGTTATTTGCGACTTTTCTGAAAATTATTCATTTATTATTCAAAACTCAGCACAGGGGTATCATTGGAACAATAATCAAGCTACGATACATCCTTTCGAAATTTACTACATAAAAGAAAACAAGTTGGAAAATTTAAGCTTTATTATTATTTCAGAAGTATTGAGCCATGATACAATAGCAGTTCAATTATTTATATCAAAATTGTTAGATTTCATTAAACAATCTATTAGTTTCACAAAAATTGCTTTCATGTCAGATGGAGCAGCGGCTCATTACAAAAATAAAAAGAATTTTGCCAGTTTGTGCAACTTCAAGTCCAAGTATGGATTGGAAGCAGAATGGCACTTCTTCGCAACGTCTCATGGGAAAGGCCCATGTGACGCAATTGGAGGAACTCTCAAACGAATGGCAAAGAGAGCAAGTCTTGCTCGAGATTATGGAAACACAATCACAACTCCACAAGAACTGTATGACTGGGCAGTTAAACAAACAGATACAAGCATAACAAAATTGAACTTCTGCTTCATATCAAATGATCAATACACAAAGATGTCCGATGAACTCAAGGAGCTGTTCAGTCATGTTAAAACTATACCTGGTACACAAAAATTTCATTGTTTTGTACCTATTTCTCAAAACATAATTTCTACTAAGCGATTTTCACATTCAAAGGAAACTCCGAAAAATTTCACTCTGTTTCCGATAGACTAATAATCAATGAAAAACTCAAATTATGTATGGAGAATTATAGGAAAATAAATTATGCACTAAACAAAAACACTAGAGTTTTCATTTATTAAAACACCATTCGAAATGCAGGAAAATCCTCTGTATTAGGCCCTTTCAAATGTTAGGCTAGATTTTTGTTTTAAGCACGCCCAGATTATCAAAAGGTCAAAATCTTTATGCTCATTAAGTTTCAACGGATTTTAATAAGGTTGTGCGCGTATTACTATTCGACTTTGAGTGAAACACGCTAAAAAAAAAAACATGAAAAAGTTGTTATTCGAACAACTTTTTTTCCTTAAAAGCGCCCACTTTGCGATGTATGAAGAAAAGTTAGGTAATTATATTGCCTTTCATGAGAAAAAATTTCAAGCAAATCTGAGGGGTACCATTTTTGGGAAAATGACTTTTAATTTTTAAATATATTTTTTTAGAGTGTAGAAACCAATTTTTTAATTTGTTTAAATTTTTTTATAAAATTTCAGATTATTTGCTAAAAGTTCGCCATACATCACTATTTTGTAGGGCTTGTCATTTTTAAGCTATATCGATTTGAAAAAAAAAAATCGACAAAAAACTTTGACCCTTATCAAATGTTAGGCGAGATAAATTTTGAAAAAAATAAGTACTCAAAGTTGCTTAAAATTGCTAAGTCTCCACACCCACAAAGTTTCATAAGGTTCTGAGAGGGTGCTGCCAACTCCGAAGACGAGTTGGCGTGAAATCCGTCTAGTGTTTATTCCCTCCTAGACTTCGGCTGTCAATCATACCATCGTCGAGCTTCAGTTTGAATGATACCCTGATGCTCCCTCCCAACCCAGTATTTATTTATATAATGAAAATATATGCAATGGAGAAATGAAATATATCAGAACATTAAAATATGACATAATGAAATACATTTATATGGATAATATAGTTGCTACTGCAATGAAGAAGTATTTTACATATAATAAGATGCAGCTCTACACCTCCTCAGCTCACAATAGGTGGATGCAACACTGAAATTTATAGTATAAATATATTTTGCTCGAATGATACTAACAATAGTGCTAAAAATTGTGATGAGTAACTAACATGACGAGAAATAACCTGCTTAATAATTATAAACATATAATATTATTTAATGTTTCTGCTTCATCAGCTTCATATTAATTTCGATGACTTGCTTGTGTAAATTGAAATATTAAGCTAAAGGTAATAGTATATCATGCAATGTATGATTTATATAATATATGTAGTGAAATGCAAAATGTATGTATGTATGCAGGTATTTTCTTAAAACACAGAAAATATAACAAAATACCAGTGGCGTCCCGTAACCTCACTATTTACCTGTGCACCAACTTTCAAAACCAGATTTAATGCCATATTCATATTCGAATCGGTTGAAAATACACTCAATCTTCTAGTTTACTCGATATCTATCTATTGCAAACAATATATTGATTATTATTTATGTTTTGAGAGTTGGTGCACAGGTTGATCGAGGTTAAGGAAACGCCACTGGAAAATACAGAAAACTTCGATTTTAGTCACTCAAATTCTTTACACTCAAGCTATATATGAATATTTTAATTGCATGGTATGATTGAACTCAACTTTGCCAATTTAATGAATCCACAATTTAAGTAAAGAATCAATTTGCTAAATAATCGAGGTTGTTTGAGCATACAAGAGTTATAAAAATAAGCATCAATGATTAATTCTTGAAATAGCAAAACTCTGCAAAGGTCAAACAATTTAATAACATATGGTGATATTCAATTTATTCTCTGGGTAATCAAAATTCTGAAAACCATAGATATCATATTATATTATTATAAAATAAATGTAAATAGCAATGATTTGATATTTGATACACCTTCTGTAAATGAAAATTATAGTTACAATGATATAATGAGATTTTAAATATGTGAAATAGAAATAATTTACTAGTCATGCAATATATAAAATATAATGAATGTGAAATAAACAAGTACCGTAAAACAATGAATAATAGACTTCAATTTTTGTATGAAAAAAAAAATCTTTTTTTTTTCCATAATTTGGATTGAAGTTTTTCTAATGAATTGGAAAAATGACTAATAATGTTTCACTATATTTTAAACGGTTTAAAATCAAGCCTCCACAACTCGTCCTTAGACACCATTTCAGTACAATCAATAGTTTTTGAGATACGTAATATAGTGCTCATGAAAATGCATACGCCATTTACGGAAAGATGACGCTTGAGTTGAAATGGTCGAAATAGCTATGGAAAATTCATATTCCCTTTTCGAAAACAAAGACAAAATTTCATTTAAATCGGAAAGACTTAATTTGGTTACGATCTAGTTTTGCGGGAGAGCATGGAAACTATGTATGGGAAACGGCCCGGCACTGTTCAGCTGTTATTCAACAACTAAAAAAAAAAATGCTCTATTTTTACCTAACCTGGAACTAAGGTTGAAAAAACTATACAGCACAACTTCGTACAAGACCATAAATCGATTCGACGTCGGTGCAAAAAGTTGTATTCTATTATTATTATTATGACCATGTGCTTCGTGCATACCTACTGGCGTGCATATAAGCTTGTAGGTATGTGCGGAGCCCTAGGTCTACAGTATAAAAAATAAAAACTTTTTGTACAGATATCGAATAAATAAATATCGAATCGCTTTGTGGCCCTGTTTGCCTGGATCTTATAAATTTTCAAAATTTATTTGAAAAATGTTTGATTAAGTCGAAGGTCAATGTCTGAATTTCCGTAAAGTTCCAAAGTCTCTAAAATGTAGTAAGTCCGATATTTGACTTTTTACAATAGCTAGCTTACTATTTTGGAGCCTCAAACTAGTCAATCATCTTGAATTGATCTCACATTCGCAATCGTAAATTCTCCAATTCCAACCGGTGCTAAAATCACGCTACACCTGTTCAGCTACCTGTCCCAGTCGCGGGAGTGCTCGGTATCTACATTGGTAGTGCCGCTTTACCTGTTGTTTACCTGTGCCACAGGTTGTTTGCGTGTGCTCTATCTCTCGTTCACCAACACCAGTACCGCTGAACAAAACCCACCTTTCCGCACATGACTGCGATGACTGCTCTATCCGTGACGATGATCGTACATTTGTACGTGCTGGTTGGATGTTATTTGGATAAGTTGTATTATGTATATACCAACTTGCAGCCAGCCAGCAAGCGATCAGTGAAGAGAGGAACCCTTCTCTGTGCTTGGGCTCGGGAATGTATGTATCAATAGTATTGGTCCATCCCGACCGGAGGTGACTTCTATACAACATTAGAGGAATTTTTCATCTCCCGGAGTGATCTGCGCGGTCAATTATGCTGGCGTTGAAGTGAAGCTGACGGTGAAGAATCCAGTCAAACAGTTGCAGATCGACGTGTCGTGTGAATTTGAGGATATTTTTGTTTTGGCTTGTTTAAGATAAAAGTGATTCGCGGAAGTGCAAACAGAATTCATTCCGCTGCGGTTGTTTTGATATCCAGATTCGAAAGGTGGTGAGATAATGATGTGGTGATGAGTCATCGGTGGCCCTCCAAATTGCCCTTATGATATTTTTTTTTTTTGGAGCCTGAGTGCCACGGAAATAATCTTGTGGTAACATTTCGATCTTATGACGTTGTATAAAAACTAGTTCCATTGGGTGGCTACACATGAAAGCGTGCTAGGAAGTGTGATTTCTGCTTTGCGCAAGTGAGACGTAGAACGGTGGCTTCAATCATGGTAACGAAATTTGTATGGTGTGGAGCTTTGGTAGCGATACTGACCCTGCTGGTAGTGCCGGTAGCGTCGGAACAAGCTTCCTGTCATGATGATAAACCCTGTCCGGAGGATGAGTATTGTGATCAACACAGCTTTTCCTGTTCCCCATGCAGCGATATTTGTTCCAGTGTTATGACTCGAGTGGATTGCAGTAAAAAGTGCAAAGGTATGTTTCGATCGAGAACCATTCTATGTAAACGAGGCTTTACGGGGTTACATATTGTGAATTTACTTTCGATGGCACTGGTAGCACATCAAAAAAATTGTCCAATAGGCTAACAAAAACTAAATGTGAAAATCATGATTTCTGAAAAACCGGAAGTAAGGCAGGAACTAGGTTCGGAAGTCGGAGGTTAGACTTTCGAACTTTAATTTAGTGCTGGCGACATAATATACATAACCAACATTCTTTCTATATAGATTGATACTCCTGAATCCACATTTATATTTATGCTATATACCGGCAGTGTGGCGACAAGTGCGGGTTATTTTTATCCCTAAGGCTAATAAAAGGATAAAACTTCACCAAAATCCTTCAGGCCAATAAGCTTATCGTCTATTTTGCTAAAAATAATGAAAAAAAAAAAACAATAGATGAACACATATAGTCATCATATCTAGTTACAAATCCTCTGAGCAAATGTCAGTTTGCATACCAGGAAGGTAAGTCATCAGTAACAGCACTCCATACGGTTGTTACAAAACTAGAAGATCTTTTGAAGCAAAAGAAATTTCATTTGCTGCATTCCTTGACATTGACGGTGCATTCGATAATTCATATTACGATTCAATGACTACAGTATGATATAAACATAATTGTACGTGGCAAATATGATTGCATTATCGCTAACAGAAAGCAAATTGCCTTAAGTTTTGTCTCAACGTGGTGTGATAGGGAAGGATTGAACATACTTGAAAACTACTATTGTGCCATTTACGCGAAGGAAGAAGTTTTCATTAGACAACATAAGATTGGTGCATTTCAATTCATCTTTTAGAACTTTCAAATGCTGTCAAATATCTTGGAGTAATCCTTATCTTATCTTATCTAACACCAACACAGCCAGTTCTTGAAAGCATCCTGGAAGATGATATATATATAACTACATCATTTTTCTTGTCTATTTAATATATGTTAAACATCGAAGATGCGTCACACATATCAAAACGGCCAGGCCTACTGTGCAGCATTTAAGGGGCAAGATGATTCAGAAAACATCGGGCCTGTTTAAATCTAAGATTTAAACACGATGCTTCAGAATTTTTATAAATGGAAGAAACGTGGACGTACCGTACGTTCCGATTTTGGTAATTTTATGGTTGGTTGGTCGTTGGAAGCATCAAAGCTAGAAAGATTAAGTGATGCTCCATTTTCTTCTGACGGTTGGGACATGAGCACTAACTCTTGTCCTAGCCTTTTATGGCTTATGGCTATAGCATCATTACTCGCTTTCTGAAAAGAGAAGAGGGAAAGGAAAAGGAGAAGGACAAAGAGAAAAGGATTATGTGAAATCTATGAACATAAGCAATATTTTTGATTTGAAATATACAATATAGAAATGCATAACGGCGCGGTGGTCACTACCCGAGTCTTGTCACTATTATCAAGTCATAAAAAGTAACAAGGACTAAAAAGTGATCCTTTGATTCCTAGAAAATTCTGATTCCCTAGTTTGAAGTTGTCACGACTAGGGTTCGGTGGTAGATCTTATACCAGTAACGCATCACAAAAAGGTGATTTCCCAACATTACTGGTTTGAAAAGATAAAAATTTACAAAATGGAACGAACTCACCAAGTTTAGCCAATTGAACCAATTGAAGGCTGCCTGACATGTGTTGATGTAGAAGTCCAAATTGTAGACGAAGCTTCACAAAGATCAACATGAACTAGTCCGGTTTATGGTAGTTGCACGGACAAATATCTTGTAGTAATCCTTGATAGTAAACTTAATTGGAATATGCATCTAGAGCAGGCAATAAACCAAGCTACTTATGCTCTATGGATATACAAAAGAACATTCACTTAACAGTGGGGACTGAAACCGAAAATAATCCATTGGATTTACTCGACAATTGTGAAACCCAGGATTACTTATGGTGCATTGGTCTGGTGGCCAAAAACTAAAGAGAGTGTTGCTCAGAGAAAGTTAAAAAACTCCAAAGGTTAGCAACTCTCTCAATAACAGGTGCAATGAAAAGTACACCATCGAAGGCATTGAATGTTTTGCTTTATATGCTACCATTGCATCAATTTGTACAATTAGAAGCCGAAAAGTGTGCCTAAGGATTACAAGGTCAGTGAAACTCTTTGAAGGAGACCTTAGAGGACATCTTAGGATTTTAAAAACTGTTAGTATCAACTCTCTAGTAAGGAACAACGAAGACTGGATGGAGAAAAGATACAATTTTAATCGACTTTTTCAAGTATTTGTCCCTGAGCGTAATTCATGGCAATCTAGTTGCCCGGTTCTTCGTCCAGGATCGATTGTTTTTTATACAGATGGTTCAAGATTGAACAATCAAGTGGAATCAGGAGTAACTGGCCCAGGGATAGAAATATCGGTTCCTATGGGCAGATGGCCAACTGTGTCCAAGCTGAAATCCAAGCAATTTTAGAGTGTTCCATTATATGTCTGTGTAGAAACTATAAGAGTTCAAATATATGCGTCATGTCCGACAGTCAAGCTGCTCTAAATGCTTTAAAGTCGGTGATATGTACATCAAAACTTGTCTGGTGTGTTCAATCACTTCAAAAATTGTCTTGTCATAATCAAGTCAACTTATATTGGGTTCCTGGTCATTGCGGGATTGAGGGAAATGAAAGAGCTGATGCACTAGCAAGACTCGGATCTTCTCATAAGTCCATCGGGCCAGAGCCCTTTTGTGGCTTATCGGCTGCATCTCTTAGAATGGAGCTAAAAGCGTGGGAATCTTCAAAAGTGGAGGAAAACTGGAAGAACACTTCTATTGTTAGGCAGTCGAAGCGATTCATTAATCCAAACATTTCTGTGACCCACAAAATCCTGGAACTTTCTAAGGAAGGTCTTACTATATATGCAGGTCTTATAACAGGTCTTTTTCCGAGCCGTTATCACTTGAAGCTGATTGTAAAACTTCAAGATGATGTATGTCGCTTCTGTGACATAGAAAAGGAAGACTCGAAACATTTGCTATGCCACTGTCGGGTAATTTTCATTAAAAGGCAAAAGTTCTTCGGCAAGGGGCTGATAGAACCCTTTGACATTTGGAGAACAACTCCCAATACGGCAGTGCACTTTATTCGAAATATAACGCCGTGCTGGGATTATGCTATTAGTCAAACGTTGGCGATCACACCTAATAATAGTGATAGCTAAAGAAAAAAAATGGGAAATATACCACAATAGATCAGAAAAATGGTCGCAGTGATGAAAATACCCGACAACGAATAAAAAATCCACAGTTACGTTCAAAATGATGTATTTAAACATATTTTAAGGGTGATATAAAAATTATATTATGGGGTTTTAATTGCAAATATCATATAAAGCTGAACATAAAAATTGAGTCTTTTTTGTGTTGTCGTCTAGATTTTTTTTAATAGGGTAAATTATGGCTTCGGCACCCATTGACTGTTTTCGGCAACTGAAATTGAAACGTTAATTTCACTGTATTTTCCCATCAAAACTCTTCGCTGAATGTATTAAGCCGATTCCTTACCTTTTCAGCTTCAATCTGATTACATTTTTACGACTGTGCAATCCTGTTCTGCCATATTTTTCTTTAAATGAAATATACACACTACAAAATACGGCTGATTTCGAGTTGCCGATAATAGAACAGCTGGTTAACACGCAGTTCAAATGGAAAGGGTGCCGAAGAAAAAGAGACTGCCGACAATAGTCACACTCACCTGAGCAAAAAGTGGTCCAGATATTTAGAAAGGTCTTGGAAACCCCTTTTTGTACGGTCTAATCCTCATATTGACGCAATCGGGCGCATTTTAGTCATAGATGTCTAAAAATAATTTTCAATATAAAATTGTGATTTAGTAATATTGCAAAGGCAAACAAAGCTAACAACGGATTTCACCTCATCTACACTCTAATCCTTCTCGCGCTCCCACTCCACTGACGCTGCTGCTCAACCAGTACTCTTGCTCTATTTCCACTTCCCTCCAGGCCTGTCATGGTAGCTTCTCATGGTTACTCCATGAGTAACCAGCTCCGAACACTGTTTCTTTCAAACCAATTCTTAGTGGGCGTACAAATTTCAATTTACATGTGGAAGTTCCGAAAACTAATATATTTCAGTCTAATATATTTCAGAAAAAAAAAACAAAAGAGTCATCCAGAATTTTCTAGATCTTCAGGGAATTCAAAAAACTTCAAATTTAAAGATTTTCGGAAGTTTCTCTATATTTAGGATAGTTTCGAGAACTTCCAGTGAGATCAAGGAACATCAAAGCACTTCCATTAATTTTAGGAAAATTTCAAAAACCATCATAAAGCCTCAAGAAATTATGGGAAATTCCAAAAAAAAATCAGAAATACTCCCAAAATTTCCGGAATTGGCGTGGCTGTCAGGTAAGTTCCATAAATATCTGAAAAATTGCCGGACCATTTACCTTTTTCAAAATTTAAGGAACTTCAGGGAAGCACAAAAAACTTATAACCCACCAAACAGCTGCAGATCAGCCGTATGCAGCTTATAAAAGGCTTCTTTGCTTACAAAATTGCTTGTTCAGCATCTTGGGGAAGTTTAGAGATTATTATGAGAAGGCACTTATTCCTTGGCTCATAACGAAAAAGTGCGCACAAGACACCAAGACGATACAACATAAAGCACACTTTTATTAGTGATTCCGCACTTTTGAGCAGTCCAGCTAGAAATGCAAAATTCAATAGTAGTTTTCTCTTCTTCTTCTTCCTCCTGACATAACCATTCGGCTTAATAATGGCCCAGGATCGGTACAGTAATTCGTCTCAACTTCTATTTATTTTGATCTCTCCCTATGTTGAAGAGCACAAGAAAGCAGAGGTGAAAATTTTTCATCGCTCTCTTTTTGAGAAAAAAATGGGATTGAAATCATGAATGTACGATTTTTTTAATATACCCGATTAGCAATTCCCGTTTTTTTTTCCGGAATTTTGAAAATGCGAAGTGTACATTTAAATTATGTATAA